ATCCTCTGTCTCAGGAGGAGAAGAAAGCTATGGAGATTTACATAGACGAATCGCTGAGACAAGGATACATACGGCCGTCCACTTCCCCCGCGTCCTCGACTTTCTTTTTCGTGAAGAAAAAGGATGGTGGTTTGCGTCCGTGCATCGATTACCGTGGTCTCAATCAGATTACGGTGAAGTATAGTTATCCACTCCCGCTGATTGCGACCATGACTGAGTCGTTGCATGGGGCGCGTTTCTTCACGAAATTAGATCTCAGGAGCGCGTACAACTTGGTGCGCATCAGGGAGGGTGATGAATGGAAAACAGCCTTTAGTACCACCTCGGGCCATTACGAGTATCTGGTCATGCCATACGGGTTGATGAACGCTCCGTCAGTTTTCCAATCATTTGTGGATGAGATCTTCAGGGACATGCAGGGGCAGGGGGTGGTGGTGTACATTGATGACATTCTCGTGTACTCACCTACCCGTGTCGAGCATGTGGCCCTGGTGCGCAGGGTGTTGCGGAGGCTGGTGGAGCACGACCTGTATGTGAAGGCAGAGAAGTGTCTGTTTTTCCAGGAGTCGGTCTCCTTTTTGGGTTATCAGTTGTCTGCGTCAGGCTGAAGGACCTGTTTACCTCGGCCCCGGTGCTGGCGCATCCGGATCCCTCTTTGCCGTTCCAAGTAGAGGTGGACGCGTCGGAGGCCGGTTTAGGAGCCGTGCTTTCACAACGGTCTGGCGCGCCACCTAAACTCCGCCCCTGTGCTTTTTATTCTAAGAAGCTCAGTCCGGCGGAGCGGAACTATGACGTAGGGGACAGGGAGCTGTTAGCCGTGGGTACAGGCTCTAAAGGTGTGGAGGCACTGGCTTGAGGGGGCTCAACACCCTTTCCTCATTTTGACGGACCACCGTAACCTGGAGTACATCCGGGCGGCGAGGAGGCTGAACCCTCGCCAGGCAAGATGGAGTATGTTCTTGACCAGGTTTACTTTTAAGATCACGTACATCCCTGGGTCACAGAATGGCAAGGCAGATGCGCTGTCTCGGCGGTATGACGCGGAGGAGAGGTCCGTGGAGCCCACTCCCATACTGCCTGAGTCGTGTCTGGTGGCACCGGTAGTGTGGGAGGTCGATGCTGAACTCGAGCGGGGCGTTACGCACCGACCCTAGTCCACCACAGTGCCCGGAGGGTCGGAAGTACGTTCCGCTCGAGGTTCGGGATCGATTGATCTATTGGGCTCACACGTCACCCTCCTCTGGACATCCGGGTATCGGCCGGACGGTGCACTGTCTTAGTGCCAAGTACTGGTGGCCCACGTTGGCAAGGGATGTGAGGGTTTATGTTTCCTCCTGCTCGTTGTGCGCCCAGTGTAAGGCGCCTAGACATCTACCTAGGGGTAAGTTGCTACCCCTGCCCGTTCCACAACGGCCATGGTCCCACCTCTCAGTGGACTTTATAACAGACCTTCCCCTTTCCCAAGGGAATACTACCATCCTGGTCGTTGTGGACCGGTTCTCTAAGGCCTGTCGTTTGCTCCCCATGCCGGGTCTTCCTACGGCCCTGCAAACTGCCGAGGCACTGTTTACCCATGTGTTCCGGCACTACGGGGTACCCGAGGACATTGTGGCTGATCGGGGGTCCCCAATTCACCTCCAGAGTCTGGAGAGCGTTTATGGAGCGGTTGGGGGTCTCGGTGAGCCTCACCTCGGGTTACCACCCGGAGAGCAATGGGCAGGTGGAACGCGTAAACCAGGATGTGGGTAGGTTTCTCAGAACATACTGCCAGGACCGGCCGGAGGAGTGGTCAAGGTACGTTCCCCTGGGCCGAGATGGCCCAGAATTCCCTACGCCATTCCTCCACTAACCTAACTCCATTTCAATGTGTGTTAGGTTACCAGCCGGTTCTGGCACCCTGGCAGCAGAGCCAGATCGAGGCTCCTGCGGTGGATGAGTGGGCGCGGCGCTCGGAGGAGACTTGGAACGCTGCACACGTCCACCTGCAGCGGGCCCTCCGACGTCAGAAGGCGAGCGCTGATCTCCACCGCAGTGAGGCACCGGTGTATGCACCTGGTGATCGAGTCTGGCTCTCTACCAGAAACCTGCCCCTCCGCCTGCCCTGTCGGAAACTGGGTCGGCGGTTTGTAGGGCCATTTAAAGTCCTGAGAAGGTTGAACGAGGTATGTTATAGATTACAGCTACCTGTGGAGTATAAGTGTATTAACCCCTCGTTCCATGTGTCCCTTCTCAGGCCGGTGGTAGCGGGCCCACTCCAAGAAGATGAGATCTTGGAGACTCCTCCGCCCCCGTTGGACATCGAGGGGGCACCGGCGTACTCCGTGAGATCCATCTTGGATTCGAGACGTCGGATGGGGGGTCTCCAGTATCTAGTGGAGTGGAAGGGGTACGGTCCGGAGGAGCGGTGCTGGGTGCCGAGGAGAGACGTGTTGGACCCGTCGCTCCTGACGGAGTTCCATCGGAGGCATCCGACGCGCCCTGCGCCGCGTCCTCCTGGTCGTCCCCGAGGCCGGAGTCGGCGCACGTCTGGAGCCGCGCGTCAAGGGGGGGGTACTGTCACGGTTTTCGGCCGAGGCTGCCTCTCTCCCTTGTTCGGGCAGGCTTCGGCGTTCGTCGTCTCCGGAATTCTAGCTGCCACCGCTATATGTTTCATGTTCGTTTGCTTTGTCTGTTTGTTTCCACACCTGTTTCTGTTTTGACGTAATTAGTGTCCTATAAGTTCTCGTTGTGTTTGTCTAGTGTTGTGTGTGATTGTTTCCGTCAGTGTTGTGTTTTGCTCGGTTGAGCGTATTTCTCCACTGTGCTGGACCTTATTTGCACCAGTGTGTGCTCCGTTACATTTTGTCGCACCTGTTAGTGCGCATTTACCTTTCGCCTTCGTGCGTGTTTTTGCTGTCGGGCTTAGTTGTCCTGTTGCCTGTGTTGGGCCAGTATTACAGCCTTTGGAACATTCAGTCTGCGTCCTGCGTTTGATTCCTACACTACACCTACAACACGCCCTGACAGGTTTTGTTTTATTATTTTTTGTTTTATTGTTTTATTTTGAGTTATAGTCCATATAAGGTAATTAGTAATTTGAAATTTCCTTAGACCCTAATGTATGGATTTCACATTACTGGGGATACAGATATGCATCTGTTGGTCACAGATACCTTAAAAAATATGAAGGGGTCAGAAAGCCAGTCAGTATCTGGTGTGACAACCATTTGCCTCATGCAGCGCGACACATCTCCTTTGCATAGAGTTGATCAGGCCGTTGATTGTGGCCTGTGGAATGTTGTTCCACTCATCTCATCAATGGCTGTGCGAAGTTGCTGGATTTGGTGGGAACTGGAACATGCTGTCGTACACGTCGATCCAGAGCATCCCAAACATGCTCAATGGGTGACATGTCTGGTGAGTATGCAGGCCATGGAAGAACTGGGACATTTTTAGCTTCCAGTAATTGTGTACAGATCCTTGCGACATGGGGCTATGTATTATCATGCTGAAACATGAGGCGATGGTGGCGGATGAATGACACAACAATGGGCCTCAGGATCTCATCACGGTATCTCTGTGCATTCAAATTGCCATCGATAGAATGCAATTGTGTTTGTTGTCCGTAGCTTATGCCTGCCCATACCATAACCCCACAGCCACCATGGGGCACTCTGTTCACAACGTTGACATCAGCAAACCACTCGCCCACACAATGCCTTACACGCTTTCTGCCATCTGCCCGGTTCAGTTGAAACCGGGATTCATCCTTGAAGAGCACACTTCTCCAGCGTGCCAGTGACCATCGAAGGTGAGCATTTGCCCGCCGAACTGCAGTCAGGTCAAGACCCTGTTGAGGACGACGAGCACGCAGATGAGCTTCCCTGAGACTGTTTCTTACAGTTTGTGCAGAAATTATTCATTTGTGGCTGGTCTCAGACGATCCCGCAGGTGAAGAAGCCGGATGTGGAGGTCCTGGGCTGGCGTGGTTACAAATGGTCTGCAGTTGTGAGGCCGGTTGGACGTACTGCCAAATTCTCTAAAACGACATTTGAGGCGGCTTATGGTAGATTATGAACATTAAATGATTTGGCAAAAGCTCTGGTGGACATTCCTGCAGTCAGCATGCCAATTACACACTCCCTCAAAACTGTAGACATCTGTGGCATTGTGTTGTGTGACAAAACTGCACATTTTAGAGTGGCCTTTTATTATTATGATCATGTTGTTTAATCAGCTTCTTGATATGCCACACCTGTCAGGTGGATGGATTATCTTGGCAAAGGAGAAATGCTCACTGACAGGGATGTAGACACATTTTAGAGAAATAAGATTTTTGTGAGTATAGAACATTTCAGGGATCTTTTATTTCAGCTCATGAAACATGGGACCATCACTTTACATGTTGCGTTTATATTTTTGTCATGTAGCTCTCCTTGATGGGGGGGCTGTCCCTGAGGAGAGAGGAGCGAGAGAGAGAATGATAGAGAGAGAGATCGAGAGAAGAGAGAGAAGAGGAAGAGAGAGAGAGAGATAGAGAGAGAGAGAAGAGCGGGAGAGAGAGCGATAGAGAGAGAGAGGATGTCCTTTATAGAGGTAGACGAGAGTAGAGAGATAGAGATAGTATCGCTCGAGGTGGTAAGAAATGGGGAAGGTGTAAGAGAAGGCGTGAGAGTTACAGAGAGGCCTATAAGCTTAATATACCGAGCTTGCTTTTTTGATGTGAGAGAGGCAATTGGAAGAGGCGAGAGGATGAGATAGAGAGATGAGAGAGAAGAATAAAGGAGAGAAGCGAGCGACGAGGCTCCGAGACATCTATCATCTATAGAAGGAATGACATGGAGATAGAGAGGAAGCGAAGAGAAATGAGAGAGAGAGAGAGAGAGAGGAATGAAAGGAGAAAGAGATAGAGAGAGAGAGAGAGAGAGAGAGAGAGAGGGGGGGGGGGGTTGAGCTGGGGATGGAGAAGGGGATAGAGAAGGCTCTCTAGGGTAATTGTTGTAGTATTTCTCCTTTCTCTAATGTGTCAGACCAAAGAGAAAGAGAGCCACAGAGGCAGAGCGGCCTGTCTGTCTGTATGTCTTACAGCCTGTCTCACAATCAGGAGAGATGGTGACACATAAAAGACACTACGTTAGATCAGGGGTAGAGAAGACCTGTCACATGTACCTCTCCTCCTCTCTCTGCCTCCCTCTCACCATCCCTCAAACAGCCGTGCTTGGTCCTTCTCTTTTTCTCTTTTTAATGTCATTCCTGCATTACTGCACTCTATCCCCCTCTATTTTGCTTTCTTCATGTCCTTCCCTCCATCTCCCTCTCTCTCCTCCCCTCCATCTCCCTCTCTCTCCTCTCCTGCATCTCCCCCTCTCTGTAGTATTCTCCCTGTGAAGTATGCAGTGTGAAGTGTGAGTGCCCAGGGTGGAGGGGGTTTGACAGAGGGATGTGTAGAGGGTCAGGGTGGAGAGTGTTAGAGAGAGTGATATGTAGAGGGTCAGGGTGGAGAGTGTTAGAGAGAGTGATATGTAGAGGGTCAGGGTGGATGGTGTTAGACAGAGTGATGTGTAGAGGGTCAGGGTGGAGAGTGTTAGTGATGTGTAGAGGGTCAGGGTGGAGAGTGTTAGACAGAGTGATGTGTAGAGGGTCAGGGTGGACGGTGTTAGAGTGATGTGTAGAGGGTCAGGGTGGAGAGTGTTAGTGATGTGTAGAGGGTCAGGGTGGAGAGTGTTAGACAGAGTGATGTGTAGAGGGTCAGGGTGGAGAGTGTTAGACAGAGTGATGTGTAGAGGGTCAGGGTGGAGAGTCTTAGACAAAGTGATGTGTAGAGGGTCAGGGTGGAGAGTGTTAGAGAGAGTGATGTGTAGAGGGTCAGGGTGGACGGTGTTAGAGTGATGTGTAGAGGGTCAGGGTGGAGAGTTAGACAGAGTGATGTGTAGAGGGTCAAGGTGGAGAGTGTTAGACAGAGTGATGTGTAGAGGGTCAAGGTGGAGAGTGTTAGACAGAGTGATGTGTAGAGGGTCAGACATGTATTAGTCAGGAGATGACCTCATTCACTTTCAACTGCGTCTCACAGGCTACAGACTGAAATATCAAGTACAGCCATACGTACAGTATGTGGACATACACACAATCAAACACACACAGAGAGAGATGCAATAGACACATACTGTGTGTACAGAAGCCAAACTCTAAACAAAGAGGAGAACCGGGACAGAAGGAACACTTCAGGTTTGATATGTATGAAAATGAACCATTTTGCCTTACAATATTAATCAGACTTAAATTGATCACATAATAGCTATACTAACCATAATTTCCTCATCTCACTTTCATGGGAATGTAGTAGATGTTTCTTCACAATTTTCAATTACTATTCATGCTTAGCCCTACCGATGTTACTTCCGCTCTCCTGTAAATTCTCCCTGGCTAGCATCCAATACTAGCTAGCAAGATATTTCAAACCTATGCTGTCATTTAGTCACTAGATGGGTTAAGAAAATAACATACAGTACCAGTCAAAAGTTTGGACACACCTACTCATTCAAGGGTTTTCCTTTATTTTTTACTATTTTCTACATTGAAGAATAATTGTGAAGACATCAAAACTATGAAATAACACATATGGAATCATGTAGTAACCACTCTTGGCATTCTCTCAACCAGCTTCACCTGTAATGCATTTCCAACAGTCTTGAAGGAGTTTCCACATATGCTGAGCACTTGTTAGCTGCTTTTCCTTCACTCTGCCGTCCGACTCATCCCAAACCATCTCAATTGGGTTGAGGTCTGGGGATTGTGGAGGCCAAGTCGTCTGATGCAGCACTCCATCATTCTCCTTCTTGGTAAAATAGCCCTTACACAGCCTGGAGGTGTGTTGGGTCATTGTCCTGTTGAAAAACAGATGATAGTCCCACTAAGCCCAAACCAGATGGGATGGCGTCTCGTTGCAGAATGCTGTGGTAGCCATGCTGGTTAATTGTGCCTTGAGTTCTAAATAAATCACAGACAGTGTCACCAGCAAAGCACCCCCACACCATAACACCTCCTCCTCCATGCTTTACGGTGGGAACTACACATGTGGAGATCATCCGTTCACCCACACCGCGTCTCACAAAGACACAGCAGTTGGAACCAAAAATCTCACATTTGGACTCCAGACCAAAGTACACATTTCCACCTGTCTAATGTCCATTGCTCGTGTTTCTTGGCCCAAGCAGGTCTCTTCTTATTATTGGTGTCCTTTAATAGTGGTTTCTTTGCAGCAATTTGACCATGAAGGCCTGATTCACACAGTCCCCTCTGAACAGTTGATGTTGAAATGTGTCTGTGACTTGAACTCTGTGAAGCATTTATTTGGGCTGCAATTTCTGAGGCTGGTAACTCTAATGAACTTACCCTCTGCAGTAGAGGTAACTCTGCGTCTTCCATTCCTGTGGAGGTCCTCATGAGAGCGAATTTCATCATAGCGGTTTTTGCGACTGTACTTGAAGAAACTTTCAAAGTTCTTGAAATGTTCCGTATTGACTGACTTCATGTCTTAAAGTAATGATGGACTGTTGTTTATCTTTGCTTATTTGAGCTGTTCTTGTCATAATATGGACCTGGTCTTTATACCCCCCATATCTTGTCACAACACAACTGATTGGCTCAAGAAGGAAATAAATTCAACAAATTAACTTTTAAGAAGGCACACCTGTTAATTGAAATGCATTCCAGGTGACTACTTCATGAAGCTGGTTGAAAGAATGCCAAGAGTGTGCAAAGCTGTCATCAAGGCAAAGGGTGGCTATTTAAAGAATTTCAAATATAAAATATATTTTGATTTGTTTAACACTTTTTTGGTTATTATATGATTCCATATGTGTTATTTCATAGTTTTGATGTCTTCACTATTATTCTGCAATGTGGAAAATAAAGAAAAACCCTTGAATGAGTAGGTGTGTCCAAACTTTTGACTGGTAGTGTATGTTTGGAACTGAAAAAAAAGTTTGATTAAAAAAAGGTTGATAACTCATTGAAATGTTGTCGCAGCGTGCAGATTTTTTGCAGGTAGGTTGTCTTCCGCAATAGGCACGTGTGTCATTAAGTCAGTCTAGCTTTTGTGTCATTTGAGAAAATGGGTGAGTTATATCCACCCTGCGTTACTTTCATCCAGGTTCTCATCGACATTCAGAAACACGTGATTAAAACATACAAACAACATTTACTCAATCACACACATTCGGTGCCTTCAGAAAGTATCCAAACCCCTTCCCTGACTTTTTCCACATTTTGTTGTGTTACAGCCTGAATTTAAAATGTATTACATTTAGATTTTGTGTCACTGGCCTACACACAATACTCCATAATATCAAAGTAGATTTTTTTAAATATATATTTATTTTAATTAATAGAAAATGAAAAGCTGAAATGTCTTGAGTTAACAACTATGATAAACTGGGTGATTTGAGCCCTGAATGCTGATGGGCTGAAAGCCGTGGTATATGAGACCGTATACCACTGGTATGACAAAACATGTATTTTTACTGCTCTAATTATGTTTTTAACCTGTTTATAATAGCAATAAGGCACCTTGGAGGTTTGTAATGTATGGTCAATATACCATGGATAAGGGCTGTATCCAGGCACTGTCACGTTCGCTTAAGGAGGAGGACCAATGCGCAGCGTTGAATGCGTACATATTATTTATTAAACAGATCACCCGATCAAAACAACGAACAAAACGTGAAGTCCTTCGATACACACAAACCAAAAGGAACAAGAAACCACAACACAAAGTGAAAAGACCGATAGTTAAATATGGCTCCCAATCAGAGACAACCAGCTGACACTCGTTGCCTCTGATTGGGAGTCACTCAGGCCAACATAGATATACCAAACATAGACTTACACACCCTGGCTCAACATAACATAGTCCCCAGAGCCAGGGCGTGACAGTACCCCCCCCCCAAAGGCGCGGACTCCGGCCGCGCCAAACAACCACAACAGGGGAGGGACCGGGTGGGCACTCCGCCTCGGCGGCGGATCCGGCTCCGGACATGACCCAGGCACGGGTTGTGCTGGACTGACGACGCACACCCCTGGCTTGATGCGTGGAGGAGGAACGGGCCGGACCGGGCTGACGAAGCGCACCCCTGACTTGGTGCGGGGAGCAGGAATGAGCCGGACCGGGCTGACGACGCGCACCACTGACCTGGTGCGGGGAGCTTGGATGGGCCGGACTGGGCTGGCGACACGCACCACAGACTTGGTGCGGAGAGCAGGAACGGGCCGGACAGGGCTGACGAAACGCACCATAGACTTGGTGCGGAGAGCAGGCACGGGCCGTGCCGGACTGACGACGCACACCACTGGCTTAGTGCGGGAAGCTTGGATGGGCCGGACTGGGCTGGCGACGCGCACCACAGACTTGGTGCGGAGAGCAGGAACGGGCCGTGCCAGACTGACGACGCACACCACTGGCTTGGTGCGGGAAGCTTGGATGGGCCGGACTGGGCTGGCGACGCGCACCACAGACTTGGTGCGGAGAGCAGGAATGGGCCGGACCGGGCTGGCGACGCGCACCACCGACTTGGTACGGAGAGCAGGAACGGGCCGGACAGGGCTGACGACGCGCACCACCGGCTCGGTGCGAGAGGCAGGAACAGGCCGAACCGTACTGGGGACACACGCCACTGGCCCTATGCAGGGATCAGGAACGGGCCGGACCGGACTGGTAATACACCCCAGTACCTCTCGCCGTGCCTCCACACTTTCCCTCTCCTCTGTGACCAGTGGCCCCCTTAACCTGGCGGCCTCCTCTGCACACCCGCTGGACCGCTCCATCGCGGCCTCCGGCTGCCCCGTCGTCCACGTCGTGAGCCCCCCCCTAAAAAATTTCTGGGGTTCTCTCCTCCCCATGGACCAGGCCTCCCTAGCTCTCGCCAGACTCTCGATCCATTGCTTCATAGACCAGCCTCTCTCCTCTTCACTTAGCGTGGCCCAGCCGAAACTCCTACTCCCCTGATCCCAGGTCCTTCCTCTCTCCTCTTCACGCTGCTTGGTCCATTTTTGGTGGTTTCTTCTGTCACGTTCGCTTAAGGAGGAGGACCAATGCGCAGCGTTGAATGCGTACATATTATTTATTAAACAGATCACCCGATCAAAACAACGAACGAAACGTGAAGTCCTTCGATACACACAAACCAAAAGGAACAAGAAACCACAACACAAAGTGAAAAGACCGATAGTTAAATATGGCTCCCAATCAGAGACAACCAGCTGACACTCGTTGCCTCTGATTGGGAGTCACTCAGGCCAACATAGATATACCAAACATAGACTTACACACCCTGGCTCAACATAACATAGTCCCCAGAGCCAGGGCGTGACAGGCACTCCGCATTTCGTCGTTCATAAGAACAGCCCTTAGCCGTGGTATATTGGCCATATACCACACCCCCTCGTGAGTTATTGATTAATTCAACCCCTTTGTTATATGGCTAGGCTAATTAAGTTCAGGAGTACAAATGTGCTTAACAAGTCACATATTAAGTTGCATGGACTGACTGTGTGCAATAATAGTGTTTAACATGATTTCTTTACGACTACCTCATCTCTGTACCCTACACATACAATTATCTGTAAGGTCCCTCAGTCGAGCAGTGAATTTCAAACACATATTCAACCACAAAGATCAGGGAGTTTTCCAATGCCTCACAAAGAAGGGCACCTATTGGTAGACAGGTAAAAATAAAAATAAAGCAAACATTGAATATTCACCAAATGATTGAAGGAGGAAACAAAGTACTTTAATCATATGTTTTTGTTTCAGTCGCCTCCATCTCCTCTAACTGAAGCTAATTGTAGAGATTTTTTCTATTGATAATGTAAAATTAACAGCCATACAGAAAGACTCATGTGAAGGTGAAATTACAGAGGAGGAACTTATGGATGCAATTAAAGACATTAAGTTCGGGAAAACTCCAGTGTTGGATGGCATACCAGTCGAGGTATACCAAACCTTTTTTGATATACTCAGAGGACCGTTATTAGCATGTTTTAACCACTCCTATGTAAATGGTAGATTATCAGACACTCAAGAAGAAGGCCTGATTTCATTATTACTGAAACAGGATACAAGTGGAAAATATAAAGTCCATTAAAAAAATTGGAGGCCCCTTACACTTCAGTGTTGTGATTCAAATATTTTAGCAAAATGTATAGCACATAGAATTAAAAAGGTAGTGTCGGACATTATTCATTCTAATCAGACAGGTTTTTTACATGGACGATACATTGGAGATAATATAAGGCAAGTACTGGAAACAATAGAACACAATAAAAAATCTGGGAAACCAGGCCTGCTATTCATAGCAGACTTCAAAAAGGCATTTGATAAAGTACGACTGGGGATTATATATACATGCCTGGAGCATTTCAATTTTGGAGAATCTCTTATAAATTGGGTTTAAATCATGTATAGTAACCCTAGGTATAACATAGTAAATAATGGCTATTTCTCCCAAAGTTTTAAACTGTCAAGAGCAGTGAAACAAGGTTGTCCACTATCGGCATATCTATTTATTATGGCTATCGAGATGTTAGCTATTAAAATCAGATCCAACGATAATATCAAGGGATTAGAAATCCAGGGCTTAAAAACAAAGGTGTCATTGTACGCTGATGATTAATCTTTTATTTTAAATTCACAACTAGAATTCCTCCACAGCCTCATAGAGGATCTAGATACATTTTCTAACCTCTCTGGACTACAACCAAATTATGATAAATGTACTATATGACGAATTGGATCACTAACAAATAAAATTTTACATTACCATATAGTTTACCAATAAAATAGTGTGATGGAGATGTGGATATACTCGGAATACATATCCCAAATGAAATAAATGATCTCACTCCAATACATTTTAATAGAAAGTTAGCAAAAATAGATAATATCTTGCTACCATGGAAAGGTAAATACCTGTAAATTTATGGAAAAATCACCCTGATTAACTCTGTAGTATTATCCCAGTTTACCTATTTGCTTGTGGTCTTGCCTATGCCTAGCGAACAGTTCTTTTAATTATATGAGAAAAAAAATATTCAATTTTATTTGGAACGGCAAGCCAGACAAAATTAAATGAGCCTATTTATATAATGAATATGAATTTGGAGGACATAAATGTTTAAATATTAAAGCATTAGACCTATCACTAAAAGCTTCAGTCATACAAAAGTTATACTTAAATCCGAACTGGTTCTCTAGCAAATTAGTAAGATTGTCTCACCCAATGTTCAAGAATGGCCTTTTTCCCTTTATTCAGATTACAACCTCTCACTTTCAGTTATTTGAAAAGGAAATAATCTCCCAAATATCACTATAACTAAAACAAGCCATAGAAAGTTGGTTGCAATTTCAATTTAATCCTCCAGAAACGACAGAACAAATAATGTAACAAATATTGTGGTTAAACTCAAATATACTAATTGATAAAACACTTTTTTTTGACAAAATGTTTAAAAAAGGTATAATCTTCGTAAATGATATAATCGGTAGGACTGGTGGAGTTATGTCACACATGCAGCTAAAACATATGGAAATGTCTGCTCTACCCAAAATTACAACAAAATAATTGCAGCATTACCACAAAAATGGAAGAGGAAAGTGGAAGGGGGAAAAAGTAAGGAACTTGTCTGTCGGCCTTGTATTAAAGAACATAATTGGTTAAAGAAAACTGTGATAAATAAAAAAGTATACCAGTTTCATTTAAGGACCAACGGATTGACAGCCGTCCCATATAGATTGCAAAATAGTTGGGAATAGATTTTTGACATACCGATTCCATGGCATAGTGTTTATAAACTGATACGCAAAATGACGCCGGATTCAAAACTTAGAATTTTTCAATTTAAATTATTGTATACAATTCTTGCTACCAATAGAATGTTATTTATATGGGGGATACAATCTTCCCAGCTCTGCAGATTTTGCTGCGAAGAGACATAATCATTAGATAATTTTTTTTGGTACTGTCCATTTGTAGCTTGTTATTGGACACAGGTACAGGAATGGCTAAAGGATTGCAATATTTACCTGTAGCTAACCCTGCAGATAGCATTACTGGGTGATCTGAAAAGTCATAGTCAATCGATCAATAATATAATAATACTTTTAGCTAAAATGTTTATTTTCAATTTACAATCTGTAGAAACAATGAGAATAGAAAGGTTCAGAACTTTTGTAAAACATCACAGTACAGTTAAAAAAGATATGGCAAATAGAAATCCAATATGGATGGTGTTGAATGGAGTTGAAGGATGGGACTAATAATAAAAAGTAACAACAACTAATAACAACAAGATAACTAATAATGTAAAGCATACTGTGTCCATAATAAGTATATAGGTTATAGGTTTAGAGCTTTTGTGAAAGAGCACAGTTAGAAACATATGGCATATAGAAGCAAACCGGATGGACATCATGAAAATTATCGTAGAGGTTGACGGTAGAGGAAGTTCAGGAGTAAAAACAAACAAAATATAATTATTGTAAAATTGACTTTGTCCATAAAATGTATATATTATGTATAAGCTGGATGTAGAGGCCTAAGCATTGATGTTCACTAGTTTACTCCAATTAGGGAAGGGGTGGTGGGGTTGGAAAGTAATAAAGGGAAATAATTTTTTTAAAGGATATGTATATGTGTGTAAATGTGTATGTATATATATATATATAGATATAGATATATATATATATATATATATATATATATATATATATATATATATCTATATATATATATATATATATACAGTGTATATATACAGTGGGGGAAAAAAGTATTTAGTCAGCCACAAATTGTGCAAGTTCTCCCACTTAAAAAGATGAGAGAGGCCTGTAATTTTCATCATAGGTACACGTCAACTATGACAGACAAATTGAGATAAAAAGTTCCAGAAAATCACATTGTAGGATTTTTTATGAATTTCTTTGCAAATTATGGTGGAAAATAAGTATTTGGTCACCTACAAACAAGCAAGATTTCTGGCTCTCACAGACCTGTAACTTCTTCTTTAAGAGGCTCCTCTGTCCTCCACTCGTTACCTGTATTAATGGCACCTGTTTGAACTTGTTATCAGTATAAAAGACACCTGTCCACAACCTCAAACAGTCACACTCCAACCTCCACTATGGCCAATACCAAAGAGCTGTCAAAGGACACCAGAAACAAAATTGTAGACCTGCACCAGGCTGGGAAGACTGAATCTGCAATAGGTAAGCAGCTTGGTTTGAAGAAATCAACTGTGGGAGCAATTATTAGGAAATGGAAGACATACAAGACCACTGATAATCTCCCTCGATCTGGGGCTCCACGCAAGATCTCACCCGTGGGGTCAAAATGATCACAAGAACGGTGAGCAAAAATCCCAGAACCACACGGGGGGACCTAGTGAATGACCTGCAGAGAGCTGGGACCAAAGTAACAAAGCCTACCATCAGTAACACACTTCGCCGCCAGGGACTCAAATCCTGCAGTGCCAGATGTGTCCCCCTGCTTAAGCAAGTACATGTCCAGGCCCGTCTGAAGTTTGCTAGAGTGCATTTGGATGATCCAGAAGAGGATTGGGAGAATGTCATATGGTTAGATGAAACCTAAATATAACTTTTTGGTAAAAAACTCAACTCGTCGTGTTTGGAGGACAAAGAATGCTGAGTTGCATCCAAAGAACCCCATACCTACTGTGAAGCATGGGGGTGGAAACATCATGATTTGGGGCTGTTTTTCTGCAAAGGGACCAGGACAACTGATCCGTGTGATATTTTGAGTGAAAACCTCCTTCCATCAGCAAGGGCATTGAAGATGAAATGTGGCTGGGTCTTTCAGCATGACAATGATCCCAAACACACCGCCCGGGCAACGAAGGAGTGGCTTCGTAAGAAGCATTTCAAGATCCTGGAGTGGCCTGTCTCCAGATCTCATCCCCATAGAACATCTTTGGAGGGAGTTGAAAGTCTGTGTTGCCCAGCGACAGCCCCAAAACATCATTGCTCTAGAGGAGATCTGCATGGAGGAATGGACCAAAATACCAGCAACAGTGTGTGAAAACTCCTGAGTGGCGCAGTGGTCTAAGGCACTGCATCACAGTGCTAACTGTGCCACTAGATCGTGGTTTGAATCCAGGCTCTGTCGCAGCCGGCCGTGACCGGGAGACTCATGGGCGGCGCACAATTGGCCCAGCGTCGTCCAGGGTAGGGGAGGGAATGGCCGGCAGGGATGTAGCTCAGTTGATAGAGCATGGCGTTTGCAATGCCAGGGTTGTGGGTTCGATTCCCACGGGGGGCAGTATAAAAAAAAAATGTATTCACTAACTGTAAGTCGCTCTGGATAAGAACGTCTGCTAAATGACTAAAATGTAAATGTAAAACCTTGTGAAGACTTACAGAAAACGTTTGACCTGTGTCATTGCCAACAAAGGGTATATAACAAAGTATTGAGAAACTTTTGTTATTGACCAAATACTTATGTTCCACCATAATTTGCAAATAAATTCATAAAAAATCCTACAATGTGATTTTCTGGATTTTATTTTCTCATTTTGTCTGTCATAGTTGACGTGTACCTATGATGAAAATTACAGGCCTCTCTCATCTTTTTAAGTTGGAGAACTTGCACAATTGGTGGCTGACTAAATACTTTTTTCCCCCACTGTACATTCAAAAATTAGTATTTGGTAGCATTGCCTTTAAATTGTTTAACTTGGGTCAATTGTTTCGGGTAGCCTTCCACAAGCTTCCCACAATAAGTTGGGTGAATTTTGGCCCATTCCTCCTGACAGAGCTGGTGTAACTTAGTCAGGTTTGTAGGTTTCCTTGCTCGCACACGCTTTTTCAGTTCTGCCCACACATTTTCTATAGGATTGATGTCAGGGCATTATGATGGCCACTCCAATACCTTGACTTTGTTGTCCTTAAGTCATTTTGACACAACTCTGGAAGTATGCTTGGGGTCATTGTCCATTTGGAAGACCCATTTGCGACCAAGCTTTAACTTCCTGACTGATGTCTTGAGATGTTGCTTCAATATAGCCACATAATTTTCCTTCCTCATGATGCCATCTATTATGTGAAGTGCACCAGTCCCTCCTGCAACAAAGCACCCCAACAGCATGATGCTGCCACCCCCGTGCTTCACCTCCAATTGATTCAAACAATGTCAATTAGCCTATCAGAAGCTTCTAAAGCCGTAACATCATTTTCTGGAATTTTCCAAGCTGTTTAAAGGCACAGTCAACTTAGTGTATGTAAACTTCTGACCCACTGGAATTGTGATACAGTGAATTATAAGTGAAATAATCTGTCTGTAAACAAATGTTGGGAAAATTACTTGTGTCATGCACAAAGTAGACATCCTAACCGACTTGCCAAAACTATAGTTTGTTAACAAGAAATGTGTGGAGTGGTTGAAAAATGAGTTTTAATGAATCCAACCTAAGTGTTTGTAAACTTCTGAATTCAACTGTATATACAGTGGGGAGAACAAGTATTTGATACACTGCCGGTTTTGCAGGTTTTCCTACTTACAAAGCATGTAGAGGTCTGTAATTTTTATCATAGGTACACTTCAACTGTGAGAGACGGAATCCAGAAAATCACATTGTATGATTTTTAAGTAATTAATTTGCATTTTATTGCATGAAATAAGTATTTGATCACCTACCAAACAGTAAGAATTCCGGCTCTCACAGACCTGTTAGTTTTTCTTTAAGAGCCTTCCTGTTCTCCACTCATTACCTGTATTAACTGCACCTGTTTGAACTCGTTACCTGTATAAAAGACACCTGTCCACACACTCAATCAAACAGACTCCAACCTCTCCACAATGGCCAAGACCAGAGAGCTGTGTAAGGACATCAGGGATAAAATTGTAGACCTGCACAAGGCTGGGATGGGCTACAGGACAATAGGCAAGCAGCTTGGTGAGAAGGCAACAACTGTTGGCGCAATTATTAGAAAATGGAAGAAGTTCAAGATGACGGTCAATCACCCTCTGTCTGGGGCTCCATGCAAGATCTCACCTCGTGAGGCATCAATGATCATGAGGAAGGTGAGGGATCAGCACAGAACTACACGGCAGGACCTGGTCAATGACCTGAAGAGAGCTGGGACCACAGTCTCAAAGAAAACCATTAGTAACACACTACACCTTCATGGATTAAAATCCTGCAGCGCACACAAGGTCCCCCTGCTCAAGCCAGCGCATGTCCAGGCCTGTCTGAAGTTTGCCAATGACCATCTGGATGATCCAGAGGAGGAATGGGAGAAGGTCATGTGGTCTGATGAGACAAAAATAGAGCTTTTTGGTTTAAACTCCACTCGCCGTGATTGGAGGAAGAAGAAGGATGAGTACAACCCCAAGAACACCATCCCAACCGTGAAGCATGGAGGTGGAAACATCATTCTTTGGGGATGCTTTTCTGCAAAGGGGACAGGACGACTGCACCGTATTGAGGGGAGGATGGATGGGGCCATGTATCGCAAGATCTTGGCCAACAACCTCCTTCCCTCAGTAAGAGCATTGAAGATGGGTCGTGGCTAGGTCTTCCATCATGACAACGACCTGAAACACAGCCGGGGCAACTAAGGAGTGGCTCCGTAAGAAGCATCTCAAGGTCCTGGAGTGAGCTAGCCAGTCTCCAGACCTGAACCCAATAGAAAATCTTTGAAGGGTGCTGAAAGTCTGTATTGCCCAGCGACAGCCCCGAAACCTGAAGGATCTGGAGAAGTTCTGTATGGAGGAGTGGGCCAAAATCCCTGCTACAGTGTGTGCAAACCTGGTCAAGACCTACAGGAAATGTATGATCTCTGTAATTGCAAACAAAGGTTTATGTACCAAATATTAAGTTATGCTTTTCTGATGTATCAAATACTTATGTCATGCAATAAAATGCAAATTAATTACTTAAAAATCATACAATGTGATTTTCTGGGTTTTTGTTTTAGATTCCGTCTCTCACAGTTGAAGTGTACCTATGATAAAAATTACAGACCTCTACATGCTTTGTAAGTAGGAAAACCTGCAAAATCGGCAGTGTATCAAATACTTGTTCTCCCCACTGTGTATATATATATATATATATATATATATATATTCGCGAGAAGAAAAAAAAAATATATGGGGGATTGGAAATGATGCAGACAATTACATTGATGGAAGTTACAATCTATCTGCAATATTAAAGCTGATCTACCCCCTAAAAAAAAGAAGAATAAAAAAAATAACATTGAATATTCCTTTAAGCATGGTGAAGTTATTAATTACATTGAGTGGTGTACAAAGATACAGGCTTCCTTCCTAACTCAAGTTGCTGGAGAGGAAGGTTTTCACCTTGAGACAAATGGTGACATTAAAACAATTACAGCATTTAATGGCTGTGATAAAAGAAAACTGAGGATGGATCAACAACATTGTAGTTACTCCACAATACTAACCTAAATGACAGAGTGAAAAGAAGTAAGCCTGTACATGCATCATGTTTGCAATAAGGCACTAAGGTAACAGTTCAAAAAATGTGACAAAGAAATTAACTTTATGTCCTGAATACAAACTGTTATGTTTGGGGCAAATCCAAGACGACATTGTATGTTGCTGAGTGGCCTAGTTACAGTTTTGACTTAAATCGACCTGAAATTCTATGGCAAGACTTGAAAATGACTGTCTAGCAATGATCAACAACCAACTTGACAGAGCTTGACAAGAATAATGTGCAAATATTGTACAATCCAGGTGTGCAAAGCGCTTAGAGACTTACCCAGAAAGACTCACAGCAGTAATCGCTGCCAAAGGTGATTCTAACAATGACGCATGGGTGTGAATACTTATGTTTATTTTATTTATTTATTTATTTATTTCACCTATATTTAACCAGGTAAGCCAGTTGAGAACAAGTTCTCATTTACAACTGCGACCTGGCCAAGATTAAGCAAAGCATGTATGTAAATGAGATATTTCTGTATTTCATTTTCAAAACATTAAAAAAAAATATTTTCACAATCGTTTTCACTTTCTCATTATAGGGTATTGTGTGTAAATGAATGAAAAATTATTCTTTTTTAATCCATTTTGAATTCAGTCTGTAATACAACAACATTTGGAATAAGCCAAGCGGTATGAATACTTTCTGAAAGCAATGTGGACGCCCACACGCTCACTCAAACAGAGTATTCCATAGAGCTTGCAGTCTATCTACCTTTTTCAGGAAATAAATATGTTTTATTCCATCGGAATGGTTTAGGTAATAGCGTGATGTGTTCTATTATTATTATTATTATTATTTTATTTGTTAAAAGGAGGAGACTAAAAATGAAGGCAGTCTTAATAATGGATGGGAGCAGATCTATCAGAGTGCTGCGTTGTGCTGCATTATCAAATTGTGCTTTTATCAAAAGTACTGCAATCACTCTAAAATATTAAATTCTTCTAAGAACTGAAATGTAAAAGTTTGAGATTGAATGTATGATTGTGTGTAGTTTGTAGCTCTTCGTTTGGTATCCAGAGTGCATTTGGAACCATTCTGAATGCTCAGTGTGCTTTTCAATGTCTCTATCTGCCTCGCATTCTCATCAATAATGTATACCCTGATATTTTATGGTTTTGATAAAGGAAAATAACATCCTAGATGGATTCTGATGTATATCTGTTTGTGGATGTGGGAGGGATGAAAGGTAAAGATTTCAGTCTAAATTATTAGACAAAATGGTTGTTCACAACTGTACTGATGTAATGTGCAGTTTATTTTCATCCTAAATATGTTTACCTCATATGATTAGTATTTGTTTGGGTGCTTGTGTAACTTGTGTTGCACCTTGCAGCAGTCCTGTATACACAGAATGATAGCCATGTCTAGCACAGAGGCACAGAGGCCTAGAGGTGTTTTGCATCATTCCTACCTGATTATATTCCTGTTCTCTCACACTCTGAGGTGCCTGGTGGGTAGACAGGTAGACGGAGGAGGAACAGCAACTTGGCAGTAGAGACAGAATGAGAAACAGACAGAATGAGAAACAGACAGAATGAGAAACAGACAGAGGAGGAAAGATAGTGAATCGAATTTTAAGACAAGATTAGAAAATGTAATGGGAGGTCAGACGGAGGTTATCAGCTTATCCCTTATGACAGCCATGTGTGTGTGTGTGTGTGTGTGTGTGTGTGTATGTGTGTGTGTAAATATCAGGGTAGAGTCTCCCTAGGCATGAGGAAGAAGGCCAGATAAGCTTGGAGCCAGGGTGTGAGAGAAAAGCCTGTCCTCTGTGTGCCTAGTGTTATCACAGGTACTGGCTGACGTGACCTTTGTGAAATAACCACCATTATCTATTGGTCTGCCGCTGTGGGAATAGCTAGCATCACCACAACCCCACCTGTACATTCTTTTGCTGTGGGGCTAGCTAGCATCACCACTGCAGCACCTACACAGTGTCCTACATGTCTGTTCTATAGCCCCTGACATAGGAGGTCAGAAACAGGGCTTATATCAACAACATGGCTGCAGTTCTCTCCCTTCATACCACTCCTCCTTATACCTCCTTTTGCAGGCCCTCTCCTTTCCCTCTGTGTTCTATATGCAGGCCCTCTCCGTCCCTTCCGTGTTCTATGTGCAGGCCCTCTCCTTCCCCTCTGTGTTCTGTAAGCAGGCCCGCTCCTTCCCCTCTGTGTTCTATATGCAGGCCCTCTCCTTCCCCTATGTGTTCTGTATGCAGGCCCTCTCCTTCCCCCTGTGTTCTGTAAGCAGGCCCTCTCCTTCCCCTCTGTGTTCTATATGCAGGCCCTCTCCTTCCCCTCTGTGTTCTATATGCAGGCCCTCTCCTTCCCCTCTGTGTTCTATATGCAGGCCCTATCCTTCCCCTCTGTGTTCTATATGCATGCCCTCTCCTTCCCCTCTGTGTTCTATATGCAGGCCCTCTCCTTCCCTATGTGTTCTATATGCAGGCCCTCTCCTTCCCCTCTGTGTTCTATAAGCAGGCCTTCTCCTTCCCCTCTGTGTTCTAAAAGCAGGCCCTCTCCTTCCCCTCTGTGTTCTATATGCAGGCCCTCTCCTTCCCCTCTGTGTTCTATATGCAGGCCCTCTCCTTCCCCTCTGTGTTCTATATGCAGGCCCTATCCTTCCCCTCTGTGTTCTATATGCATGCCCTCTCCTTCCCCTCTGTGTTCTATATGCAGGCCCTCTCCTTCCCCTATGTGTTCTATATGCAGGCCCTCTCCTTCCCCTCTGTGTTCTATAAGCAGGCCTTCTCCTTCCCCTCTGTGTTCTAAAAGCAGGCCCTCTCCTTCCCCTCTGTGTTCTATAAGCAGGCCCTCTCCTTCTCTTCTGTGTTCTATATGCAGGCCCTCTCCTTCCCCTCTGTGTTCTATATGCAGGCCCTCTCCTTCCCCTCTGTGTTCTATATGCAGGCCCTCTCCTTCCCGTCTGTGATGTATAAGCATGACCTCTCCATCCCCTCTGTGTTCTATATGCAGGCCCTCTCCTTCTCTTCTGTGTTCTATATGCAGGCCCTCTCCTTCCCCTCTGTGTTCTATATGCAGGCCCTCTCCTTCCCCTCTGTGTTCTATATGCAGGCCCTCTCCTTCCCCTCTGTGTTCTATATGCAGGCCCTCTCCTTCCCCTCTGTATTCTATATGCAGGCCCTCTCCTTCTCCTCTGTGTTCAATAAGCAGGCCTTCTCCTTACATTTTACATTTACATTTTAGTCATTTAGCAGACGCTCTTAACCAGAGCGACTTACAGGAGCAATTAGGGTTAAGTGCCTTGCTCAAGGGCACATTAACGTCATTTAGCAGACGCTCTTAGCCAGAGCGACTCACAAATTGGTGCGTTCACCCTATAGCCAGTGGGATAACCACTTTACAATTTGGGGGGGGGGTTAGAAGGAATACTTTAGCCTATCCCAGGTATTCCTTAAAGAGGTGGGGTTTCAAATGTCTCCGGAAGGTGGTGAGTGACTCCGCTGTCCTGGCGTCGTGAGGGAGCTTGTTCCACCATTGGGGTGCCAGAGCAGCGAACAGTTTTGACTGGGCTGAGCGGGAGCTGTGCTTCCGCAGAGGAAGGGGAGCCAGCAGGCCAGAGGTGGATGAACGCAATGTCCTCGTTTGGGTGTAGGGACTGATCAGAGCCTGAAGGTACAGGGGTGCCGTTCCCCTCACTGCTCCAAAGGCAAGCACCATGGTCTTGTAGCGGATGCGAGCTTCAATTGGAAGCCAGTGGAGTGTGCGGAGGAGGGGGGTGACGTGAGAGAACTTGGGAAGGTTGAACACCAGACGGGCTGCGGCATTCTGGATGAGTTGTAGGGGTTTAATGGCACAGGCAGGGAGCCCAGCCAACAGCGAGTTGCAGTAGTCCAGACGGGAGATGACAAGTGCCTGGACCAGGACCTGCGCCGCTTCCTGTGTAAGGCAGGGTCGCACTCTCCGAATGTTGTAGAGCATGAACCTGCAGGAGCGGGTCACCGCCTTGATGTTGGCGGGGAACGACAGGGTGTTGTCCAGGGTCACGCCTAGGCTCTTCGCACTCTGGGAGGAGGACACAGCGGAGTTGTCTACCGTGATGGCGAGATCATGGAACGGGCAGTCCTTCCCCGGGAGGAAGAGCAGCTCCGTCTTGCCAGGGTTCAGCTTGAGGTGGTGATCCGTCATCCATACTGATATGTCTGCCAGACATGCAGAGATGCGATTCGCCACCTGGTTATCAGAAGGGGGAAAGGAGAAGATTAGTTGTGTATCGTCAGCGTAGCAATGATAGGAAAGGCCATGTGAGGATATGACAGAGCCAAGTGACTTGGTGTATAGGGAGAAAAGGAGAGGGCCCAAAACCGATCCCAGGGGGACACCAGTGGTGAGAGCACGTGGTGCGGAGACAGCTTCCCGCCACGCCACTTGGTAGGAGCGACCGGTCAGGTAGGACGCAATCCAGGAGTGAGCCGCGCCGGAGATGCCCATTTCGGAGAGGGTGGAGAGGAGGATCTGATGGTTCACAGTATCAAAGGCAGCAGACAGGTCTAGAAGGACAAGAGCAGAGGAGAGAGAGTTAGCTTTAGCAGTGCGGAGAGTCTCTGTGACACAGAGAAGAGCAGTCTCAGTTGAATGACCAGTCCTGAAACCTGATTGGTTTGGATCAAGAAGGTCATTCTGAGAGAGATAGCAAGAGAGTTGGCTAAAGACGGCACGCTCAATAGTTTTGGAAAGAAAAGAAAGAAGGGATACTGGTCTGTAGTTGTTGACATCAGTGGGGTCGAGTGTTGGTTTTTTGAGAAGGGGAGTAACTCTCGCTCTCTTGAAGACGGAAGGGACATGGCCAGCGGTCAAGGATGAGTTGATCAGCGAGGTGAGGTAGGGGAGAAGGTCACCGGAGATGGTCTGGAGAAGGGAGGAGGGGATGGGGTCAAGCGGGCAGGTTGTTGGGCGGCCTGCAGTCACAAGTCGCAGGATCTTATCTGGAGAGAGAGGGGAGAAAGAAGTCAAAGCATAGGGTAGGGCAGTGTGAGCAGGACCAGCAGTGTCATTAGACTTAACAAACAAGGATCGGATGTCGTCAACCTTCTTTTCAAAGTGGTTGACGAAGTCATCCACAGAGAGAGAGGAGGGGGGGGGGGGGGGGGGGGAGGATTCAGGAGGGAGGAAAATGTGGCAAAGAGCTTCCTAGGGTTAGAGGCAGATGCTTGGAATTTAGAGTGGTAGAAGGTGGCCCTCTCCTTCCCCTCTGTGTTCTGTATGTAGGCCCTCTCCTTCCCCCTGTGTTCTGTAAGCAGGCCCTCTCCTTCCCCTCTGTGTTCTATATGCAGGCCCTCTCCTTCCCCTCTGTGTTCTATATACAGGCCCTCTCCTTCCCCTCTGTGTTCTATAAGCAGGCCCTTTCCTTCCCCTCTGTGTTCTATATGCATGCCCTCTCCTTCCCTCTGTGTTCTATATGCAGGCCCTCTCCTTCCCCTATGTGTTTTATATGCAGGCCCTCTCCTTCCCCTCTGTGTTCTATAAGCAGGCCCTCTCCTTCCCCTCTGTGTTCTGTATAAAGGCCCTCTCCTTCCCCTCAGTGTTCTATATGCAGGCCCTCTCCTTCCCCTCTGTGTTCTGTAAGCAGGCCCTCTCCTTCCCCTCTGTGTTCTATAAGCAGGCCCTCTACTTCCCCTCTGTGTTCTATAAGCAGGCCCTCTCCTTCCCCTCTGTGTTCTATAAGCAGGCCCTCTCCTTCCCCTATGTGTTATGTAAGAAGGCCCTCTTCTTCCCCTCTGTGTTCTATAAGCAGGCCCTCTCCTTCCCCTCTGTGTTCTGTAAGCAGGCCCTCTCCTTCCCCTCTGTGTTCTATAATCAGGCCCTCTCCTTCCCCTCTGTGTTATGTATGCAGGCCCTCTTCGTCCCCTCTGTGTTCTATAAGCAGGCCCTCTCCTTCCCCTCTGTGTTCTATAAGCAGGCCCTCTCCTTCCCCTCTGTGTTCTATAAGCAGGCCCTCTCCTTCCCTTCTGTGTTCTATAAGCAGGCCCTCTCCTTCCCCTCTGTGTTCTATAAGCAGGCCCTCTCCTTCCCCTCTGTGTTCTATATGCAGGCCCTCTCCTTCCCCTCTGTGTTCTATAAGCAGGCCCTCTCCTTCCCCTCTGTGTTCTATAAGCAGGCCCTCTCCTTCCCCTCTGTGTTCTATAAGCAGGCCCATACACTCATCAGTGGTGATGGTGATAGAGTACACTCATAGAAAAAAGGGTTCCAAAAGTGTTCTTTGGCTTTCCCCATAGAATAGCCATTTTTGTTTCCAGGTAGAACCCTTTTGGGTTTCATTTAGAACCCTCTATGGGTTTCATTTTAGGGTTTCATTTCTTCATATGTAGATTAAACATCAAACATGCAAACTTCCTCTCTACCACTGGCCTGTCCAGAGAAACGGGGGGCCTTAGGGCTGGTGGGTGGAGAGGAGAGAGGGATGTAGGGGAGAGAGGGATGGAGGAAGGAGGTAGGGGAGAGAAGGAGGGCGTTGGGAGGAGGGGAGAGAGGGATTGGGCAGATTGCACACTTCAGGAAGAAGAGTAGAGAATTGGCACAGATCTCTCTCTCTCGCTTTGTCCCTCTCTCTCTCTCTCTCTCTCTCTCGTTCTCTCTCTCTCTCTCTCTCTCCTCTCTCTCTCTCTCTCTCTCTCTCTCTATCCCTCTCTATCACTCTCTCTGTCTCTCTCTTTCTCATTCTCTCTCTCTCTCTCTCTCTCTCTCTCCTCTCTCTCTCTCTCTCTCTCCCTCTCTCTCTCGCTCTCTGTGTGGTAGTGGACAGACAAAGACAGACAGACGGAAAGCTAGCCTGCTGAAAGGCTTATCTCAGCGTGTTAAGTAGCCTTCACTTAATGCAGAGATTACTAGCAGTTTTGGTTGATTAGGACAATAGAAGATCCCCTTTAGCAGGTGTTGGGAAGGTCGACGGAACACTCTACAGGATTGAAGAGGACAGTGGACAGTGTGTGTACAGTGTGCCTCTGTTTGCATCCCAAATGGCACCCTATTCCCTATTTAGGGCAAATAGGGCTCTGGTCAAAAGTAGTGCACAATGTAGGGAATAGGGTGCCATTGTGAAACATTCTACAGTTTATGGCTTTTCACACTACTGAGTCAAACCGAGACGAGCGAAACCAAGCTGTACTGAGCTGGCCTGGTTAGGCATCCACCATAATTGCTGAAAAATGACAATGTGTGAAAATAAAATATGCCAGCATAGTTTGTTTGGGGTTAGCACAATAGTGTGAAGAAGGTTTTCTATTTACTGTGTTTGTGTTCAGAATGGCGTGCCCTTCTCTCCCATGCTATTTGAAGACAGCTCACTACATACAGTACTCTGTAGTATAGAGAGACAGACAGGCAATGCAAAAGGCACAATGTAGTGTAAAGGCAATTCATCCATTGACAATCTGTCATAACAGATCACAACCCTGATCAATAACCATGGGAAGAGCTTGTCAATGTGTGTCCAAAATGGCACCCTATTCCCTATGTAGTCCATAACATAGGAAATAAGTTGCCATTTGGGATGCAGATAATGACACATAGCGTATTTTATAGGCTTCATAAAACATATACTGCATAAGTATGGGTGAGTTTGGAGAGGAAAAGTTGAAGTATAAACATCATCAATGAGCTGTCAATCAACTGGGTGTCTCTTGTGGAAACAACAAAGTTAGACTCAATATGGATTTCATTAGGGAGCTACATATTATTTGTTGAATAGTGGATAAAAGTGAAACCCTCCTAACACCCTGACTAGACCGGCCACGTTGTGTGCCTGAGCGTTGCAAAATAAATGTACACAATCATGTTATTCAATCATTTTATCCAAACTGCGGAGCCAAGCGCTAAAATAGAACTGTTCTGTTTGAAAATAAAATAAAATACAATTGTATTTGTCACATGCTTCGTCAACAACGTGTGAAATGCTTACTCACTGGTCCTTTTCCAGCAATGCAGAGTTATAGATAAAGCTACAAAATATAATATAAATGGTGACGAGGAATAAATACACAGTGAATAATGAATTACAAGAACGAGTCAAAATAACATGGCTATATACAGTACAGAGTCGATGTGCAGGGGGAAGAGGTCATTGAGGTAGCTATGTACTGTACATATAATAGGGGTAAAGTGCCTAGGCAACAGGATAGATAATAGACAGTAGCAGCAGATTATGTGGTGAGTGTGAAAGTGTTTGTCAGTGTGAGTGTGTGAGTGTGTGTGTGTGGCGCCAGTATGCATGTGTGCACTTGTTATGTGCGTGTGTGTGTGTGTGTGTTTGTATGTGTGCGTGTGTGTGTGTATGTGTGTGTTGGGGTGTCAGTGTAAGTATCAGGGAATTTTCTGCCACTGAAATCCTTGGACGGGCCGCCTAAGCATATGTTCGGGTCACTTAAGACCAAACAGTGTAAAATAAAAATATATCTATATTTTTTTGTATATATATGTTTTACTATACATTTTCGAGATGGACCTAATAAATGCTAGACAATCAGGGAGAATAGAAAATTCAAAACATTATGAATTTAGCGGTATTGATTTTGGGATTATGTTTGTGCAAATGATCACAGCATTAGCCCTCTAGTGGCCTCATGGGTGGAATGTTATTCATATTTTTAATAATTTCATAATGAATAAACATTACTTAAAAAAACCAGCTGAAAATCTAGTGTTTCTATTTCAAACGTTTTTTTTTTTTATATTTCAGTCTTCTGTGATGTATATAAATTGTACTATTGGGATGCAATCTCAAAATGTAATACATTTCAACTACTATATCTGACATGGTACAGGTGTCTTCGTTTTTTAAGCCCATAACCATGTGTGTGAGGTGTATACTTTTGTTTAGAAGTAGAATTGTTGAAGACTACCAAGAAACACTCTGTGTGACCCTGATTTAGCCCACTGCTGTAAAAGGTTTAAACTGCAGAATTTTCTCTCAGCTCCATGGCAGAATATGTAGAATTGCAGAAATTTGCTCTAAAACTTAAAAAAATTATCTCATCTCCATGACAAAATGTTTATCTACACTGCCAAAATGTGGGCCTCTAAAACTTTCTCTAAAATTCAGCCGCAGGAATGGACCGACCGCGCTCATTGCCACGCCCCCTGCCACACCTGCTGCCACACCCACCACCTAAGCCCCTTTTTGATCCAGATAAAAACCCTGAGTATGTCTAATGTGTGTGCATCGAGTCAGTGCAGGAGAGTTAGTGCAAAAAAGTGTATGTGTGTGTTGGGGTGTCAGTGTAAGTATTGTATGTGTGAGTGTGTTGGTAGAGTCTAGTGTGTGTGCATAGAGTCAGTGCAAGAGATTTAGTGCAAAAAAGGGTTAATGCAGGTAGTCCGGGTAGCCATTGGATTAGCTATTTTGCAGTCTTGTTTAGCAGTCTTACGGCTTGGGGGTAAAAGCTGTTCAGGTTCCTTTTGGTTCCAGACTTGGAGCACTGATACCGCTTGCCGTGCGGTAGCAGGGAGAACTATGGCTTGGGTGGCTGGAGTCTTTGAACATTTTTCGGGCCTTCCTCTGACACCGCCTGGTATAGAGGTCCTGGATGGCACAGAGCTACAGTGATGTACTGGGCCGTACTCACCACCCTCTGTAGCGATTTGCGGTCGGGTGCCTTGCAGTTGCCGTATCAATTTGTGATGCAACCAGTCAAGATGCTCTCAATGGTGCAGCTGTATAACTTTTTGAGGATCTGAGGGCCCATGCCAAATCTTTTCAGCCTCCTGACGGGGAAGAGATGCTGTCGTGCCCTCTTTACAACTGTGTTGGTGTGTGAGGACCATGCTAATTCCTTAGTGATGTGGACACCGAGGAAGTTGAAGCTGTCGACCCACTCCATTACAGCCCCATCAATGTGGATGAGCACACACCCCTTAAGAGCCCCCCTGTGGATTGTTAGCGTGGCGGATGTGTTGTTGCTTACCCTCACCGCCTGGGGGCGGCCCACCAGGAAGTCCAGGATCCAGTTGCAGAGGGAGGTGTTCAGTCCCAGGGTCCTGAGCTTGGTGATGAGCTTGGAGGTGACTATGGTGTTGAATGCTGAGCTGTAGTCAATGAACAGCATTCTTACATAGGTATCCATTTTGTCCAGGTGGGTGAGGGCATTGTGGAGTGCAATAGAGATTGCGTCATATGTGGATCTGTTGGGGCGGTATATGAATTGGAGTGGGTTCAGGGTGTCTAGGATGATGGTGTTGATGTGAGACATGACCAGCCTTTCAAAGCATTTCATAGCATTTCATGGCTATAGATGTGAGTGCTAAGGGGCGATAGTCATTTAGGCAGGTTACCTTGGTGTTCTGGTGCACGGGGACTATTGTGGTCTGCATTAAACAAGTTGTTATTACAGACCGGGTTGGGGATAGGTTGAGAATGTCAGTGAAGACACTTGCCTGCTGGTCAACGCATGTTCTAAGTACGCGTCCTGGTATTCCGTCTGGCCTGCGGCATTGTGAATGTTAACCTGTTTAAAGGTCTTACTCACGTCAGCAACGGGGAGCGAGATCACACATTCATCCGGAACAGCTGGTGCTCTCATGCATGGTTCAGTGTTGCTTGCTTCGAAGCGAGCATGGAAGGCATTTAACTTGCGTCACTGGGCAGCTCGCGGCCCTTTTATAATCAGGGATAGTTTGCAAGCCCTGCCACATCCGTCGAGCATCAAAGCTGGCGTAAAATGATTCAATCTTAGTCCTGTATTGATGCTTTGCCTGTTTGATGGCTCGTCGGAGGTTGTAGCAGTATTTCTTCTAAATGTCTGGATTAGTGTACTGCTCCTTGAATGCAGCAGCTCTAGCCTTTAGCTCAGTGCGGATGTTGCCATGGTTTTTGGTTCGGGTATGTACGTACGGTCACCGTGGGAACGACATCGTTGATGCACTTTTAATGAAGCCTGACGCGCTCAGTCCCGCATCTCCCATGTACTAATTTCACAAGCGTACTTACCCACGTTGGTGATTGAAGGATGAACAAGGAGATTTATCTGTGGATTCATTGTCGGAGTAGGGAAACACATGATTTTGTCCAAATTCAACATAGATCCAGCTAAAAAATAACCATATGCATTTCAGGTAAAATAACAACCCAATGTTTATCTCCCAGGACAAATTAGCTAGCAACAACAAGCTAGATAAATGTCCATGAATGCTTCTTGTGTGTTTCGACCTGTGCCCAAATTAATATAGTTGGTTCACAGTTGGTTTTGATCGTGTCTGGTGGGGATAGACAAAATCAACATGCACACGATGGCACACGCAGACGCACACGTGTGGCCGGTTTGGTCAAGGTGTGATAGTTTATTTACATTCCCATCTTTTGTTTCTCAGGCTTAATTGGGAGTTTGTCATCTAATGACGCTGCTGCCAGTTTTGGTTGACATTTCCACCCTGAATGGTGTCACTTTGGTTGAAAATGCCAGGCCTAACTTAATTAGACGATAAAGGGCTCAAGACAACAAATCCCCACTTAGCAAAAAATCAGGATCAATCAGTATCAAATATGACATTATGAGTGAACTTCTCCCTGTGATTCTGAGAGTGAGTGAGAGAGCGCGAGGGAGAGAGACGAAGGAGAGAGGGCGAAGAGGGAGCGAGAGACAGGAGGGAGAAATAGGAGAGAAAGGGAGAGAAAGAGAGAAATAAAGAAAGAGAGAGGTAGAGCAAGAGAGAGATAATTACACAGAGAGAGCTGTATTAATATCATAGATTAGGCCTATTGACGCAGGTATTGTTTGCTTATCTGAAAGGCCTCCTTTTGTATTAAGCTAAATTATGCCATATAATCCAGTGCAGTGCATTTGACAGGCTACAGATTCTCTCATTTCAGGTCTATTGTGAATAAATTCTGATGGCATTTACCTGTATTGTGAGCTAGTGGCATAGTTAACTAACCTTCTAATTTCCTTGTAGCCTGTTTTGTTCACAATACACACTGTCCGAGAAAAAAATAATCTCTGGTGACCATTGTTGAGAATTGATAACGATAGTGTTATATTTCTGCAGGCGTTTACCTTTGAGAGCCGGGATGTTTGGCTTTGTCAAGCATTTAATAGAGCTACAAATAAATAATGAATCTCCAAAAACGTATGGCCGGGAAACTGGATCAAGTCAGAACACGCAAAGCAAAAAAAAAAAAAAAAAGAAAGAAAGAAAGAAACAGCCCCTCGGTCATTACTTCCTCCTCTCTCCTATGTCTGAGTATAAAAAATAAAACATATTTTTGTCATTGTGTTGTTGTTATGACTGCTGTCTTTGAGGACAGCTCTGCTCTGTAGAGAGTTTGGAACACTTAGTCCTCATTCCACCTTTTAGTTTAAAATGGCTGCCGTCGGCTATGTGAAAGCTGTCCCACTGGGCACAGACTTCAATTCAACGTCCATTCGATGTTGGTTCAACATAATTTCATTGAAATTACCTTGGCCTGAAGTGGAACGAGTCCAGTTTCCCCAACAAACACACACTCTTGGATACACGCTTGCATGAAAAGCACACACACACACACACACGCTTGCACACAGACACACACAATCATACACACACTTCCTCTGCCCCCTTCGAACCCTCCACCACCTCCTAAGCCACCATCCAGCCAGAGACAGTAATGGTGTGTGAGGAGAAATGATCAGTGTCTGTGAGGGGCTCTGGGGATCACACACACCGCCACCAGGGTCAATAGGCAATTAAACCTGAGTGAGGAGGATAGGCCGATTTACTGAGCAGGAGACCCAAGCAGTGTGTGTGTCTGTTTGTGTGTGTATGTGTGCATGTGTTCAGGCAGGAAATCGGGCAGGCCACAACCACCCCAAGTGGTGTTAACCCTAATCTGTGGAGGCGCTAGCCAAGCTAATCGCTAATCTGGCTGGTGGAAAAACTGCAACTAGCAAAGTGGCTAAAGCTGGTTCAGACCAGGCACCAAGGACCTGTATAGGCTAAGTGACCAAGGTGATTAATAAGTAGAATTGAGTTGACAGACTAGGGAGTTTTGTTACAGAACATACAAGACAAGTAGTGCTAACAAAATGTCTAACCTGTCACGATTGTCGGATACAGAGAACCAAGGCGCAGCGTTGAAGGCAAACATACTTTTATTAGATTGAACACACGAACAAAAACAACAAACGATAACGTGACGTCCTCGGTTCTAACACAAACCTATACTGGAACAAGATCCCACAACCACTGTGGGAAAACAGCCTGTCTAAATGTGGTTCCCAATCAGAGACAACCAGCAACAGCTGACACTCGTTGCCTCTGATTGAGAACCACTCTGGCCAACATAGAAATTCAACAACTAGAATACCCAAAGGAAACTCACACCCTGGCTCAACATACAAGTGTCCCCAGAGCCAGGGCGTGACAGTACCCCCCCCTAAAGGCGCGGACTCCGGCCGCGCCAACCAAACACCACAGGGGAGGGACCGGGTGGGCACTCCACCTTGGCGGCGGATCCGGCTCCGGGCCTGATCCCCACTCCCTCTCCAACCCCCCAAAGTACCCCTGGTCCGGTCTGGCCCCGCTGGCCGGAGCTGGACTGCACACTGGTGGAGCGGATTGCTCTAGCTCCGGCGTGAAGCAGCTGACCGGTGCCGGACCAGGCACCAGTGGAACAGGCACGGGCCGTGCCGGACTGACGACGCACACCACTGGCTTGGTGTGGGGAACAGGCACGGGCCGTGCCGGACTGACAACGCACACCACTGGCTTGGTGTGGGGAGCAGGAGCGGGCCGGACCGGGCTGGCGACGCGCACCATTGGGTTGGTGCGGGGAGCAGGAGCGGGCCGGACCGGGCTGGCGACGCGCACCATTGGCTTGGTGCGGGGAGCAGGTGCGGACCGGGCTGGCGACGCGCACCATTGGCTTGGTGCGGGGAGCAGGAGCGGGCCGGACCGGGCTGGCGACGCGCACCATTGGCCTGGTGCGGGGAGCAGGAGCGGGCCGGACCGGGCTGACGAAGCGCACCACTGGCTTGGTGCGGAGAGCAGGAATGGACCGGACTGGACTGGCGACGCGCACCCCAGGCTTGGTGCGGGGAGCAGGGACAGACTGGACCGTACTGGGGACACACACCACTGGCCCTACGCAGGGATCTGGAACGGGCCGGACCGGACTGGTAACACACCCCAGTACCTCTCGCCGTGCCTCTACACCTTCCTTCCCCTCTTTGACCAGTGGCCCCGTAACCTGGCGGCCTCCTCTGCCAACCCGCTGGGCCACTCTATCGCGGTCTCCTGCTGCCCCGTCGTCCACGGCGTGAGCCCCCCCCTAAAAAAATTCTGGGCCTCTCTCCTACCTGTGGATCCGGTCTCCATATTTTTCGCCAGCCTCTCGCCCTTCTGCTTCCAAGTCAAGCCCCTCTCTTCCTCACACGGCTTGACCCAGTCGAGGAGGCGAAGGAGATCCGCTAGAGATCTCCCTGGCGATGGCTCCTGGACACGCTGCTTGGTCCAGTCTTGGTGGGATCTTCTGTCACGATCGTCGGGAACAGAGGACCAAGGCGCAGCGTTGAAGGTGAACATGCTTTATTTAATAGAATGATACCACGAACAAAACAACAAACGATATGTGCAGTCCTACAGTACAAACCAAAAGGAACAAGATCCCACCACCACTGTGGGAAAACAGCCTGTCTAAATGTTGTTCCCAATCAGAGACAACCAGCAACAGCTGACACTCGTTGCCTCTGATTGAGAACCACTCTGGCCAAAATAGAAATTCAACAACTAGAATACCCAAAGGAAACTCACACCCTGGCTCAACATACAAGTGTCCCCAGAGCCAGGGCGTGACATAACCAAGGTATATTATATTATTAACCCAATGCATTGATTTTCTCAAGGATAAAATAAATTAACATTCTTTACTAGGGTTGCAAAACTTTCCCGAAATTCCCAGGTTTTCCAGAAATCGGGGTTAGAGGATTCCGGATTTCGGGAATCAGGATGTATGGAATACCTGGGAATTTGGGGAAAGTTACTGGAATTGTACAACCCTATTCTTTACCAAGATTAGATGATTGGAATGTGAATGGAGTGAGTGAGAATGATACCTCTTTGGAACTCATCCTCTGTTCTCACAATCTTCTAGATATTCCCTATTTCTACCTCCTTACATCGCGAAGTGCACATCTATATCTATCAGGTGCTTCCAGCCTTACTGTTTGGCTCTTTCAGAAACAAGATAACAGGTGTAAGACATACCTCCAAAAGAGAACTGCCAAAGGAATGAGATAGTCCCCTGTAGCTCAGTTGGTAGAGCATGACGCTTGCAACGCCAGGGTTGTGGGTTCGTTTCCCACGGGGGGCCAGTATGAAAATGTATGCACTCACTAACTGTAAGTCGCTCTGAATAAGAGCGTCTGCTAAATTACTAAAATGTAAATAATTTACTTATTATCAGCTAGAGAAAGTGTGTAAAAGAGCAAAAATCTCTCTGACAGAACTCAGCCATGTCGTTTAAGCTGCTATGGGGAAACGAATGGAGGGTGGTTTCTTTCTTTTGGCTGGATGTGATTGGTGTTTGATTTACAAGATAAGATTCATGGTCTCCTTGTTGCATTTTAAACCTTGTTGCTACCCTGCTGCCTCTGGGTTAGAGCTAACGGTAGTGACATTCAGAGAGAGAGAGAGAATGAGGCAAAAAAGGAGAGAGAGAGGCAGATGGAGAAAGAGGGAGAATGCAAGAGGAGAGAGGGAGAGAGAGAGAGGGGTAGACAAAGAGATAGGTAGAGTGAGAAGAGGCAAAAAAGGAGAGAGAGAGAGGGGAGGGAAGAGAGAAGGAGGGGGAGGGAGAGAGAGAGAGAGAGAGAGAGAGAGCGAGCGAGAGAGAGCAAGAGTATGTGAAAACAAAAGCCTCTCTCCATCGTATTCTAATACCTATCATCATTCAGGGCCTCCACTCAACTTTTCTCCTCCATTTTAGAGAGGGAGTGAGGGAGGAATGAGGAGAATGGAAGAGAGAGGTAGTTATGACACAAAGGATAATTTACTGAGATGGGTTTGGAACTACTGTGTTGCGTCTCCTGTTGTTGTGTTTGATTGTCTCTGTCTGGACCCAAAGGCCTTTACCACCTCTCCTACTAACAGAGGGAGAAAGGCCCCATGAAAAGTAAACAATCCTGACAATATGACTACTAGCGATTTTAGCAGAAAATATTTTCCTTGACCTTGAGTTTGAGTGTCTAAATTGCCAGCATGGTCATAGTAAACACACATTGAATTCAAACAAACAAATATGAATGGATCGGTGACACATCATCTGCTCTTAAATCACAAAAATCGTTTTCCCAGAACACTGCCTGTGTAGTCCAGCCCAGTACAGCTACTGTATGTAGTCTATCCCTCTATATAGGGTCTGAGAGGTAGCACTCAGTCAGTGTGTGTTTCAAACATTACATCCATGGTGTGTGTGTGTGTGTGTGTGTGTGTGTGTGTGTGTGTGTGTGTGTGTGTGTGTGTGTGTGTGTGTGTGTGTGTGTGTGTGTGTGTGTGTGTGTCACAGTCACGGTCAGCCCACTAACACCAGACCATAGCAAAATTACATCTATAAAGGGCAGAAACAAACCACATGGGAAGAGAACCCAGTAAATAACACAAGATAAATCAGTCCTATAGATGAACAGCATGGAAAACTACAACTTTTTGTCTCTCACATATCCTCACAATATGGAAGGCTAGGCTACTGGCTGTAAGCCTACAAAACAAACAACATTTTTGACAAGATGCTGGCCTCATCTGCTCTGCTCCCCTGTTACTCCGCCCATTCAAACTAACCTCATTTTGATGAAGAAGATGAGGATGATGATGATGAAGAGGAGAACAATAATCGTAAATTGCTGGTTGATGAGAAACATGTCCTTAATCCGTATGCATTCTCTCAGCATATTGCTCTTGGTTGATATGGCAACACTACCCTCACACATTCTCTTGAATTAAGTATGACTTGCCCCGCAGCCAATTTTTCTAGGACTACACCCGCTCATGCTTGAGAAGCGTGCAAGCCTTTTTCCCCCGGGTTTGTTTGTATATTGTTGTATTTTACATTTGTGTGACTGTCCTTGTCTATCAGTGTTTTGTTACGTGTATGTTTTGGGTTTCTTGTGGACCCCACAGAGAGTAGCTGCTGCTTTTGAAAAAGCTAATAGGGATCGAAATTAACAAATAAACAATTGGTTGCACGCCTGCTTGTTGAGGCTATGCTTTTGCCCAGGGAGCGGTTCAAGGTATTTCCACCTGTTTCTGCCAGGGTTCTGTAAACTGATGGCAAAAGTGTCAGTTTGGGTAGGCTGTAGCTGGGTAGGCTGTAGTGCCCGTAGCCTTATTCACACCAAATCCTAATTTTGGATTGAGTTAATTTTGATTAGGATTTCTCGGTAGAAATTCATTTTTGTTTGTTTGTTTTAGTAAGTCATTTTTTCCTATTTTGCTGTAATAATAAGGCTTTTTTTTCCTACCACTGCTACCACTAGGCTTTGGCGGGTGTGGGTGGGTTGTTGGTGTGGAACAGAAACTGCATCGAATAATTGCTTGTGTCACTTTAACACAAACAGTACCTTTCAGATGAGTTTTTCACAGCGCTAGCACATTTCCCATTCTGTTCACCCACTGCTTGTGATGACTCGATCCCCTGCACAAAAAAAGAAGTTGTTAAGACGTCCCGGGAACGTCAGGAGGTTGTGTTATGGTCCACTGGACGTCCTTAGGACATCCTGTGTTTGCTAGATATAAATATATTGTATATATTTGTTTTGTTTTTCATGCTGAAAGGTCTCTTTTATACAAAGCCTCACTATTTCCTCACACATCACTTCGCTTTATATAATTAATTTCATTTCATTCATAGTCACCCAGTCTTAGATTTAGGGTTATTGCATTATGAGAGAGAATCGTCCTCTCTTTCATAGCTTTTAATTAAGTATGCAGATTCCAGAGAGTTTTTATTCGAAGTTAATCAAGACTTAATGGATTATTCTTATTAGCTTCTGAAAAAATTGCCTTTTCAGAGGGAAGAGTGTGTGCATTATTCATTGGTGAGAGCTGAAGAATGTATGACTGAGAGAAGATAACTTAATGGTGTTCTTGACTTAGATACAGTTGAAGTCAGAAGTTTACATACACCTTAGCCAAATACATTTAAACTCAGTTTTTCACAATTCCTGACATTGAATCCTGTTTTAGGTCAGTTAGGATCACCACTTTATTTTAAGAATGTGAAATGTCAGAATAATAGTAGAGAGAATTATTTATTTAAGCTTTTATTTCTTTCATCACATTCCCAGTGGGTCAGAAGTTTACATACACTCAATTAGTATTAGGTAGCATTGTCTTTAAATTGTTTAACTTGGGTCAAACGTTTCGGGTAGCCTTTCACAAGCTTCCCACAATAAGTTGGGTGAATTTTGGCCCATTCCTCCTGACAGAGCTGGTGTAACTGAGTCAGGTTTGTAGGCCTCCTTGCTCGCACACACTTTTTCAGTTATGCCCACACATCTTCTATAGGATTGAGGTCAGGGCTTTGTGATGGCCACTCCATTACCTTAACTTTGTTGTCCTTAAGCCATTTTGCCACAAATTTGGAAGTATGCTTGGGGTTATTGTCCATTTGGAAGACCCATTTGCGACCAATCTTTAACTTCCTGACTGTTGTCTTGAGATGTTGCTTCAATATATCCCATCATTTTCCTTCCTCATGATGCCATATATTATGTGAAGTGCACCAGTCCCTCCTGCAGCAACACACCCCCACAGCATGATGCTGCCGCCCCTGTGCTTCACGGTTGGGATGGTGTGCTTCGGCTTTCCTCCAAACATAACAATGGTCATTATGGCCAAACAGTTCTATTTTTGTTTCATCAGACCAGAGGACATTTCTCCAAAAAGTATGATCTTTGTCCCCCATGTGCAGTTGCAAACCTATTGACTCAAATGATGTCAATTAGCCTATCAGAAGCTTCTAAAGCCATGACATCATTTTCTGGAATTTTCCAAGCTGTTTAAAGGCACAGTCAACTTAGTGTATGTAAACTTCTGACCCACTGGAATTGTGTTACAGTGAATTATAAGTGAAATAATCTGTCTGTAAACAATTGTTGGAAAAATTACTTGTGTCATGCACAAACTAGATGTCCTAACCGACTTGCCAAAACTATAGTTTGTTAACAAGAAATGTGTGGAGTGGTTGAAAAACGAGTTTTAATGACTCCAACCTAAGTGTATGTAAACTTCCGACTTCAACTGTACATGATCTGTGCACTTTTCACTGTGACTCATCTTACTACTGGAAAGATACAGCAGTTAGGAAGTGTATCGCTGCTGACCCCAGGCCAGCCCCGTCCTCCAAACGTTGAGCTCTAACACCTGTATGACCTGTGTCTGTTGTTCTATAGCCTTGACCTCTAACCCCTGGCCTTTGTCTGTGTTCTCCAGGTGATTCAGCGCAGGGAAGATGGCTCGGTCAACTTCTTCAGAGGATGGGACTCCTACCGTGAGGGATTTGGCAAGATCACTGGAGAACACTGGCTAGGTAAGTGTGTGTATGTGTGTGTGTCTTATTTGTGAGTGCACGATCAAGAAGCACCTTGGCCCAGTTCTTGGTTCCAGGACCATTTGCAAGTGTGGGATAATGGTTTGAGTGCTGGTCAAATACTCAGGACCATCAGGGTAAATGTCAGCATGGTCTTATAGACTAGACGTAACATAGTAAAAGTAAATCCAGGACACTCAAATGAGTATGACATGTTACATTTGGTATTGTTACATAAGACAGATGGTTACTTAATGTTGGTCGGGGTGGATGGGTGGACGTATAATGTGAATGTCTAGCAACCCAAAGGTTGCATATTTGAATATCATCATGGACACCTTTAGCATTTTACCTATTTAGCAACTTTTCAACTACTTACTAATTTTTAGCTACTTTGCAACTACTTAACATGTTAGCTAACCCTTCCCCTAACCCTAACCTTAACCCTTTTATCTAACCCTTCCCCTAACCTTAACCCTTTAACCTAACTACTAAACTTAACCCTAACCCCTAACCCCTAGTCTAGCTAATGTTAGCCAGCTAACTAACCTTAGCAACCTAGCCACCTAGCTACATTTCGTTACATATCATACAATTTACAAATTCATAACATATTGTAGATTTAGCAAATTCGTAACATATAATACGAATTGTAATTCGTAACATATCATACAAAATTTGTGATGGACATCCACAAATGAATACATACCATAAGAAATGTAACATATCATACTAAATGGAGTGCCTGCAGTTTTACCTACAGAATAATACAAAATACTCTGAGACCAGGTTGTAAATTTAGCCACAAATACAGCAGGTCACTGTGAGAGCACTACAGAGTAGTCTTCCTCTTCCTCATTCAGAGAGGGTAGTTGACTTCTTAGCCACCATCATTAGCTACCCCTCGGGCCAAACATGAAATATACAATGGTGTACAGGCTCGAAAGTGCTTTACTAGCTGCTCCACTTTCTCCCTTCTCTCTCTCTAGCCTCTCTCTCGAGCTCGCTATACGTATCGTAGGCTCGAGATCGTCTCTACGATCTCGTATTGGGCGCTCGCTGACTGCTCTCGTGGCGTCTACCGCACTCTCTTACTCCCCTCTCCTCTCTCCTTCTCCCACCTCCCCACTCTCTCTCTCACTCTCTCTCTCTCTCTCTCTCTCTCTCTCTCTCTTCTCTCTCTCTCTCTCCTCTCTCTCTCTCTCTCTCTCTCTCTCTCTCGCTCTCTCTCTCTCACGCTCTCTCTCTCTCTCGCTCTCTCGCTCTAAATTATATTCTCATCATTTGTGACCGACCTGCTTGATTCGGTCTTATGTAGCAAAATGTGAAATTGTGTTTTTTTCCCATTGGATAAAACTACAGTTGAGGAACAATGGGAAATTAATTCTGCTTTGAAAGTTGATAAACTTGTAACCACACTTTTAAGAAATGGCCCTTGTATGTTTTGGTACACCTACTGGAGAGTTCTTCTTTGTTTACACCCGTTCAGCATCGTTCACACCCTCTTAAGCCTTAGCCCCATCCATCTCTTTAAGGATTCACATGTGAGGCCATGTGCTAAACAGAATGAGTACGGTAGTGTACTAAAAAACCAAAGATTTCAAGACTAAAGGCTGGTTTATATTACATCTATCGACATGTCTGTAGACAGTTGTCACAGTGACATCATGAACATTATTGGTTTTTTTTTTTGGGGGGGGGTGGACTTTTACCCCTTTTTCGTGATATCCAATTGGTAGTTACAGTCTTGTCCCATCGCTGCAACTCCCCTACAGACTCGGGAGATGCGAAGGTTGAGAGCCATGCATCCTCCGAAACACGACCCTGCCAAGCCGCACTGCTTCTTGACACACTGCTCGCTTAACCTGGCCCACCACAAGGAGTCGTTAGAGTGCGATGGGACAAGGAAACCCGGCCGGCCAAACCCTCCCCTAACCCGGACGATGCTGGGCCAATTGTGCGCCGCCTCATAAGTCTCCTGGTCTCACCCGGTTCTGTATTGACACCTCAAGCACTTCAATGCAGTGCCTTAGACCGCTGCACCACTCTGGAGGCCAACATTCTATTGTCGTGCGACATCAAACTTGTCATTGTTGTTATGAAAAAGTATAAACATAAAAATGACAGGCTGCATGACATCAGCAGCCTGGTGGTCCAAAATAGCATAACTGGTGTATTTTAACACTAATAAACCCATCCGTTTAAAAATGAATTTAGCATATGTCAATCTAGCAAACCAGGTAACTAAAAGCATTTTTCAAAACAATGTTTTGGTTTGTTTCTAGCTTGTTAGCTAGCTAGTTAATGTTAAGTTAGCTGGCTAGCCAGTTCAAATAACAACCATATCATATACAGTAGCTGACAACATCTTAACTTTAGGTAATTTGTATACATTATTACCGGAAAATAAACTCACAACAAAATCATTATTTACAAGTTAATGGTGAGCTAATTACATAAAATAGCTTATGGTTGTGAGTGTGATGAAATAAAAGCAGGGCATTCTACCGGAGGATTTTAGAACTTGGACACTGTCTCATTGTCCTAACATTGTATCTTAATTTGACTTTGGTGCAGGTCATGTTGTTCTTCACATTACCATCTCTGGTAAACACATACTATATCAAATAAAATCCAAGTTTGTTTGTCACATGCACAGGATACAGATGGTGTAAACGGTACAGTGAAATGGTTACTTGCATAGTGGAATATTTGGTTTAGATATGTAGCTAGCTAGCTAGCTAAACAATTAACCATAATCCCCACTCATAACTTTACTACCTTGCATGAATCTGCTGGTAGCTCAAACTAACCAACTAGGTTCAATGTTAACCAGCTAGCTAACATTAGGCTATAACTAGCAATGCAAATGGCTCTGAGATACTAAAAATATTACTACACAGTCATACATGTAACTTTAGCTAGTGAGCCAGCCAGCTAACATTAGCTAGCTAGCTGACAGTACGCTATAACTTGCAATCAGAACAACTTTCTGAAAATGTAGCTAACTAGACTCTCTTACTGGAATACATGGATGAATACTTCTCCTTCTCTAGCACGGATGCCATGGTTGCCCTTAGTTTGAAGATGTAATCCGGAGACAGGTGTTTTATACAACAGCATTCTGTGTGTTCTCTTTTTGACTCTATCATACTCTGCTTCCACCGGACATTCCACTGTTATTTTTACTTTTTTTGTTTAAAATAAATGCACTGTTGGTTAAGGGCTGTAAGTAAGCATTTCACTGTAATGTCTGCACCTGTTGTATTCGGCGCATGTGACCAATAAAATTTGATTTGATTTGATTTGATTTGTTCTTTCAACTCGGTCCTCCAGAAAGTGGAGAGCATCTTTCAAAAAAGCCACGTTAGAAAGGATTACCTATACATACTGAGCAGCTCATGTTATAGACAGAAGTGCGCTACATGGCAGACCAATCCAAACTCATCTCTCATCATGTCCAGCCCATCCATTATCTCAGCCAATCATGGCTAGCGGGAAGGTTCCTGTGTTTTTCCGTGGCTAAACAATCTAGGCTCGTAATTTAATTTTTATATTCGTATTTACAGATGGCATACAAGTTTGTCATAGAGAAAAATGAAAGTTCACATGTTCCAGAAGGCATCCCTGCCAAAAAATGCATTTTAATAAAAAATACATGTTTATATATAGTACCAGTCAAACGTTTGGACACACCTACTCATTCCAGGGCTTTTCTTATTTTTATTATTTTCTACATTGTAGAATAATAGTGAAGACATCAAAACTATGAAATAACACATATGGAATCATGTAGTAACCAAAAAAGTGTTAAACAATTCAAAATATATTTTATATTTGAAATTCTTCAAATAGCCACCCTTTGCCTAGATGACAGCTTTGCACACTCTTGGCATTCTCTCAACCAGCTTCACCTGGAATGCTTTTTTCCGACAGTCTTGAAAGAGTTCCCACATATGCTGAGCACTTGTTGGCTGCTTAAGGAAATGGCAAGTTTCCTGAAACGAGTCACATTTACAGTGGCTTGCGAAAGTATTCACCCCCCTTGGCATTTTTCCTATTTTGTTGCCTTACAACTTGGAATTTAAAATAGATTTTTGGGGGGTTTGTATCATTTGATTTTCACAACATTCCTACCACTTTGAAGATGCAAAATATTTTTTTTTGTGAAACAAACAAGACATTAGACAAAAAAAAACAGAAAACTTGAGCGTGCATAACTATTAACCCCCCCAAAGTCAATACTTTGTAAAGCCATCTTTTGCAGCAATTACAGCTGCAATTCTCTTGGGGTATGTCTCTATAAGCTTGGCACATCTAGCCACTGTGATTTTTGCCCTTTCTTCAAGGCAAACCTGCTCCAGCTCCTTCAAGTTGGATAGGTTCCGCTGGTGTACAGCAATCTTTAAGTCATTCCACAGATTCTCAATTGGATTGAGGTCTGGGCCTTGACTAGGCCATTCCAAGACGTATAAATGTTTCCCGTTAAACCACTCAAGTGATGCTTTAGCAGTATGCTTAGGGTCATTGTACTGCTGGAAGGTGAACCTCCGCCCCAGTCTCAAATCTCTGGAAGACTGAAACAGGTTTCCCTCAAGAATTTCCCTGTATTTAGCGACATCCATCATTCCTTTAATTCTGACCAGTTTCCGAGTTCCTGCCGATGAAAAACATCCCCAAACCATGATGCTGCCACCACCATGCTTCACTGTGGGGATGGTGTTCTCTGGGTTATGAGAGGTGTTGGGTTTGTGCCAGACATAGTGTTTTCCTTGATGGCCAAAAAGCTCATTTTTAGTGTCATCTGACCAGAGTACCTTCTTCCATATGTTTGGGGAGTCTCCCACATGGCTTTGGCGAACACCAAACGTGTTTACTTATTTTTTTCTTTAAGCAATGGCTTTTTTTCTGGCCACTCTTCCATAAAGCCCAGCTCTGTGGAGTGTACGGCTTAAAGTGGTCCTATGGACAGATAATCCAATATTCGCTGTGGAGCTTTGCAGCTCCTTCATGGTTATCTTTGGTCTCTTTGTTGCCTCTCTGATTAATGCCCTCCTTGCCTGGTCCGTGAGTTTTGGTGGGCGGCCCGCTCTTGGCAGG